GCACTGCAGGTGCGCAACACAAAGGTAAACGGGGCCCATGAGGTGGGATGGGCGAGCCGGTGTTTACCCAAGGTGCGCGAGGGATCTTTGAATCAAAAGCACTGAACGGGTTTGAACAGGAAGCAAATGAAAGGAGTAGCGAAACAGCCTGGAGGGATCTGGTGCAAGGAATGTATGAATGAACACCCTCTTGAGGTTTTTTTCCCTCCCGTATGATGCGCCTTGGCTCTGTGGGGCCACCTGGATCGCTGTCCTTGCGGGGGCCAATGGCTTGACTTTTAAGGGGGGCAACAGCAAACCCCTCTGCACTCTGCTGGTGGCTTAGGGCTCTCGTGGTGTGCCTTGGCGTTCATCATACTGGTTTCAGCCCTGGACAAGGTCTGTGGGCTGGGCCCGTCCTGTCCCTCTGCGGCTCCTTTATGGCATAGCAGCTGTCTGAGAAAAGGCATGCGCACGCATTTCGACGCCAGCACTTTTCCTACCCTGGACCCTAAGAGACCTCTTTTCTTTGTCCTTCAAATGGGTGTTGTGGGGCTCACCCACAGAGGCTCTTGCTGGGTGGGAACCGGAGGGCTTCCACCACCACACTGGGCTTGTGTTTCCCACAAGCCCAGTGTGTTTCCCCACCCTCACACACACACCCATACTACTTGGCTGGCTGGCTTTTTCTTCTAACTGGAGGTAGCCCTATGGATCTGTTGGGGTTGGACCGGGTAGCCCTCGGGACTCCTCCAAGGTTGGCCATTCTGCTTTATGTCACCCAGGACCCGTTCCTGCTCCTTGGACATCTTTTCCAGTGCCTTTTCTCTTTGCCTGGGCACACAGAGGGCACAAGCGGGTCTCCCTGGCAAAGTGTTTAGCCCCTGGGTGTCGTTCTCATTTTTAAGTGAGCCCATTCTCACTGGCTCGCACTTTCTTCAATCTTTATCGACCTTACTCAGTCTTTGCTGGAGCCTTACGTTATTACGGTCTATTTCCTTATCAGGTTCAAAGTGCTGGTTTTGACTGATAAAGCCCTAAACGGTTTGGGACCTCAGTCCGTGGCAGGATGCGTCCTTCTGACAGGGACGGCCCGTCCTACCTGCACATCCCAGGCTGGGCTGCTGAGGACGTTAACCCCGAGAGAGGCCCAGACGGAAAAAAACAAAGAATCCGGCCTTCTCGAAAGTTACTCCTTAGCTCTAGAATAGGTTGCCCTCTGAAATTTGCTTGTCCTGCTCTCCGGAGACCTTTAAGTTATCTCTCAAAATTTGTTTTATTCTGTTTTTCCAAAATATGCCGTCTGAACAGCCCACTGAGATTATAAGCCTAAAATCTATCAATCTATAATCACCACCTGTTTTTTAAATACAATTCTAATTTCCTTTATGATACTATTATTATTTGTTACTGCTGTGCACCATCCAGAGTGACCATCCATCGGTTATGTGGTTCAGAAATTGAATGAATGAATATTTTATTTCATTTTAGGGATCCTCCCATTGAAACTCACCCACTCTTCCCTCTCCTTGTTTCTCCAGGGCTTGTCCAGATCCCCGTCAGCATGTACCAGACCGTGGTGACCAGCCTGGCCCAGGGGAACGGCCCCGTGCAGGTGGCCATGGCCCCCGTGGCCGCGAGGATAACGGACAGCACCGTCACCATGGACGGCCAGGCGGTGGAAGTGGTGACGCTGGAGCAGTGATGGGAGAGCCGTCGGGGAAGACCGGGACGTGGCGGCTTTCCTCCTCTTTTGTACGGAGTTTTCTGTTTCTAGGGCTCTCTGGAGATGCCGTCCGGTGGCCTTTGAGTCTCGCGGCTTTGGAATCGAAAGGATTTGTTGCAAAATGAAAAAGAGAGAGAGAAAGTTGTGGGAAGGGGGTGTTGGATGCGTGCCAGCACCCCTCCAGAATGCCAGGGGTGAAGAAGCCCCCAGTCCAGAGCCTACAAAGCCGAACTTTCCTCTCCCATCTTGCATGGACCCTTCTCAGTTAAAGTCGGGGTGAGATGTGAAAAGATTCCCGGCCCCCCGCTCTTCTTTGGGGTGGGGTGTGTGAAGTCTGTGGAGGTGGTGGTGGGCTCCCCGAAGACTTTTGTGGATCTCCAT